GCGACCTCCGATAATGCACGCCGGTCTCTCAGCCTCAGCATACATTTCCCAGCATGCTCGGATGTCCGATCACGTGATCGCGGGAGGTCGCGATCACATGTCCCTCCGAGCACATTATATTTATAATCAGAATTATATGTAAAAAATTATCGTTTTTGAATTTTTAAATACACAGACACCTTTGGATTTTATCTAAAAATGTTGCTATACCTTAAATTTAAATTTTTATTACTTTTTAAATCATGCATATTTTATTAGTGATGTCATTTTGGCGCCAAAATTCGAATCCATATCTGTTTTTCCTAGTTTATATAAGCACTTATTGTACCAGGTTTTTCTCTCTTTTAATGCCATTTGATAAAGCCCTGTGTGGTGAAACGCTTTCTGGCTGTTATTATATTATTTTTTTATACTGATATATTATATTTTAATAAAGTAATATTGGCTTCTTTTTTGCCTATATATACCCTTTACTATTTTATTTCATTTTATTCTGTTTTGAATTACCTGGTCACCTATTCGAATTGAAGTACGTTACTACTCAAGAATCCTAGGTGGGGATTATACCACCTGCGCCATTACACTGAGCAGTAGTTCCTGCTCATATACATGTGAGTATTTTACCATTTTATTTGTTTTTTAAAATAATACAGTGAGCACTATATACGTCTCTTATCTCTTCACATACCGAGGAATTTTTAAAGACTCCATCATCTATATCCGACCAGTGGGGGATTGACGCCACTGAATGCAGAGAATACTTGAGCAAGTTTCTTTGCTCATCTAAAGGTGAGTTTTTTACCTACTCACAGACTTCTACTTGCCCATTTGTTGATATTCTGCACTATTGGAGTTTTTCTTTGTCTTTTCCATGTACCCATATATCTACAAGTGAATCAAGATATCTCCAATACAAGAAGTCTCAGATTCTCATTTGGACTCTACATACACTCAAGAATCATACAGGTTGATTTACTATTTGGGACTTTTTATTATATTTATTTATTCACTTTTTATATTATCTCTCTGTTCCTACAGCGCGACCTATATACCATTTTTTTGTCTATCTTATTCTCTGTGAGGTTTTTTGAGGGTACCTCATTTCTATAGGTTGCTGCTTCTGTATTTATTTTAGTTTCTATTAGATTATTTAGCGCTGAACCGTTATTTATTTGTTCGATTGTGTTAAAACATACCTGCTCTAGACCAACAAACTGCAAAACTTATGGCTTTAATAGATGTGGTCACACTTGCTGATGATCAAGTAATCAAAGTCATTTGATTAGCAACACCAGTCTGCTACTTAGCCTCTTAAATCCTATGAAAGCAGTAAGGGTGTACGTAGTCATTTGATTAGCAGCATCAGTCTGCTACTTAGCCTCTTAATTCCTATGGCAGCAGTAAGGTTGCACTTTTCACACATGGCTTCTATATTTCAGCATTATTTTTGTTAAATAAATCATGACACGGTATACCTAATTTTATTTTATTTTTTATTTTAATTTTAAGACCTGCTAAGGAACAGATGATTGTTATTATGTCCTGATAAGTAAAACCATCACATTCAAAGAGGGTGTACTTTCTTTTCCCAGTTACTTTAAATACTATTTGTGGTGGACCACCTGGTACCCCAACTGGGTACCTCCGCCATTCACCCTTCCTAGTAATCTCTGAGTACCATAAGTACTGTAGCCCCTTAGCCACCGTAGCTTGGCTGGGGTTTTGCCTTCTCCACCCACCCTGGACACAAGTCCTGGATCTAGCTCCCAGTGGGTAGACCTCCTAATCCAGAGAGTATTGCAGGTATCCCTGTAATTATTGCCAGTATCGCCTTCCCTCCCCACCCATGAGCCAAGGCTTAATGCTGGGAAGTCATCTGTTTTATTCAGGGTCACACACTGCCTTTTATGCACAAGCCCATGCAAGGGGTTTCTCACACAAAATCACAGGGTAATCCCTCCCCTGTGCCTGAGAGATAATTGAGTCAGGAACAGGTACAGAAAACACACAACTTACAAACATCCCAAAAGTACCCCAAAAATAAATGAAAACCCCACAAAAGTCACATCCCCTGATAGCGGGTGACCAACATATCCAAAAATCACCTAGATCGGTTCAGGGGTTCGGGTTTTCCATGGAAGTCACTTTTTATGACCGACTGCACATGTGGCTTAAGCCCAAAATAGTTCTGTGATGGACCGTCTGCCAATCGATGCTCCTAGCTCTTACCAAGGACCATCAGCACCGCACCGGACACCATAGCCACCGCAGATTCCACAAACCACCGTAGCTTGGCTGGGGTCTCGCCGTCTCCTTCCCACCCTGGTCCAACCTCTGGACCCAGGACCTTGTGGGAAGGACCTCTCCTCCAGGAGGGTATAGCTGTAAGAAGGACCTCTACTCCAGGAGAGAATAGCTGTATAGTTGAAGAGAGCTCTTACACGAGCTTGCAGTGATATAGCTGTTATAGCTGTTCCCTACAACACGAGATGAGGCTGCGAGTTGAGGGTAAGAAGATCTGTTTAATGAGCACAAAGGCATTTCTTTTATACACATTTTCCCCACAAGGTTACCACCCACATGGACCTTGTGGAGCACAAGACACAAAGTCACCAAACCAATAGGAACAATAATTAACACAGTAACACTCCCACATACATTCAGCAAGCCCTCCCCTCTGCCTGTGATATAATTAAGCTAGCTAATGGAATAACCTCATTATCCACAGGCAGAAAATATCAATTTTTACACAAAACACCCCCAAAGAACACGTATCCCTACAATATGCCCATTATACATCCCTGGATAGCCCCAATCTGGGTGAACAACATATCCAAAAATCACCCAGATCAGAGCAGGGGTTCAAATGTTTTGTGGAAGTCATATTTGCCCAACCGCACACACATTTTCATGCCCAAAACAGTTCCAGAGAATTTGACTGTGTGGCCAGTCTATTTCCAATAGTTCAAATACTAAGTTATGTTCGAATGCACGAACGAGGGCCGTTTGTGCAAATACTCAAAGTTAAAGTGGCGTTCGAATTGTCGAACGCACTTCGATTTCCATCGGAGTGTTAAAGTCTGTAGAAGGTAAAGTTCAGCGGTGCTCATGCCGTCGCGTATCTGATTTGAGTTCCATGAACTCGACGACCAAACACCGCTGAACGCGTTCGACTGAATTACATGTTCGTATGTTGAATGGCGGCCACTTCGACTACTTCGGCACTTCGGGGATGCTTTCCCATTATGAGGCTATTGCGCATGTGTGGCAAAAAGCTGCATAGCTGTGTGGCCAATCAGTATTTCCATGGGGAGCGTTCAGTGCCTCCACGCAGACCCAATCTAATGCACTGCACCCTCCCCACACAAATCCAATACATTGCCACCCCACTCTCCACTCTAATACACTGCCCTTAATCTAATACACTGCCCCTCCTCTCTCCACTTTAATTGAATACATTGCCCCTTTTCCCAGAACTGTAATTTAATAACTGCCCTCCCCCAATTTAATACACGGCCCTCCCCCCAATTTAACACACTACCCCCTCCCACCACTCTAATACACTGCCTCCTCCTTCCACCACTCTAAAACGCTGCCCCCTCTCTCTCCCCCAATTTAATACATTGGCCCGCTCCCTCCCCCAAATTAATACAGGGCCCCCTTCCTCCCCCAATTAATACAGGGCCCCCCAAATTAATACAGTGCCCCCTCCCTAAAATGAATACACTGTCCACTCCATCCCCAATTTAGCACACTACACAGGAAGGTCCTCCAAGCCCCTCTTCCCTTACCTTAAGATGAGTCATCTGTCTTCCAGCAGGCCAGACACTCCTCTGGAACTACGAGCAGATGGGAAGGGTAGTGGCTAGCCTGCGGGAGCAACTGATCGGCTGTGGGAGAGAAGATGAGAATCAGATAGGAAATATATTTCCTGTTTTGCAGCTGGTCGCAGCCACAACAGGGCAGGTGGGATGCAAATAAATCCATTGTGGGCTGCATGCGGACCATAGGCCGCAAGTTTGACATGCTTGCCCAACACAATCTGACAATAAGCTGTGAGCACCACGCTACATGGAGAGAGGTGAGCTGGGAGGGGGGGGGGAGAGACTACAAAGGGGCACACAGTGTGCTAAGTGGTTGAAGAAGCACACAGAGGGCTGGGGGGGAGAGTTACACAGAGGACTGAGGTGGGAGAAGCACACAGAGGGTTGAGGGGAAATAAGCACATAGATGCCTGAGAGGGAGTAAAGAGGCACACAGAGGTCTAGGGGGAGGAGTCAAACAGAGGGTTGAGAGGGGTAGGCACACAGCGGGCTGAAGGGGAGAGGCACACAGTGGGCTTAGGGGGCACAGCAGTGCACAGAAGGACTGGGTGGGACAAAGATGTACGTAGGAGTTGTGGGAACAATA